GTATAAATACTTTGTTACTGTACCTAAATATTTTGGTTATCTGTACTTTACGTAATTAATTATTTTCTGGCTTGTTAAAGAAACTACCCAGATTAAAGATGCCTCCTGGATAGAGTAAATTTATTTGTGGTTGATTAAGAAATATAATATACCTACCATTTCAACACCCTTCCTGGTTTGCATCAGCACCTGTACATGAATCATAGGCTAAACACAGTAAAAACTGGAGTGTTAAAGTTTCACTGTTAAACTTTTCATAGTTAATTTCAGCTCCCAAGTGTTATTTTTAACACTTTCTGAGTAAATTAACATCCAGTGTTGGTGTTAATTCAGAGTTTAATTYATCAGTGTTGTCTCAACTCTGGACAGTGTTATAAGTATAAGCTCCGCCCACTGTCAAATCTGTTGAAAGAAGTACTCTGAATAGTCCCGCCCTCTTCCTCAAAGACCAGCATTTTCTCAGCAAGGGATGCTGGGAAATCTTGTAGAAATTATGTGTTTTCTTGTCTAAGACTGTTAAAAATGTTCATTAATGTAAAAAAAAGAGTTTTTTGGTCAGTTTTCTTGTTCAGCTTGGTTAGTTGTTTAAGTTTAGGTTTTGTGTTATTGGCCATACATCGACACCATGAGTGAGAGGTACTTCCTGGTGTGTCAAAGTCGACCCTGTTGCGCTGTTCAACGGTGTACAAAATAGTGTTAATATAACACCAAAGGAGTTGGCTTTAACTCCTGGTTAGARTGCACGACTGTGCACTCTGACTCYTACTATGTTAAAAAGAAAACTTAATGTGGGAGTACCACAAAAAAAGCGTAATTTTATATTAAATTTAGTGTATCTCCAGTAAAATAACATTAYTCTGCAGAGTGTAAACAACATATAGTGTGAAATAATTTTACTGTTTTCATTGTTGCTTTTGTCACTTAAATGAGTCAAATTAACCCTGAGAAGATGACACTGGCTATAGAGTACATTTTACACTAATTTTGAGTGGGGACAAATATGGTATGAAACAGAGTTAAATTCAACTCCATAGATGTTAAAATGACACTTTGTTTGTTTACTGTGTACTCCAGGAGGACATAATGTACTCTAGTATAAAGATGATCGTGGCAGAGATAGGTTATATCTGCAGCAGATGGATTAGTGGATCCAAAATATTTCAACATTTATATTTTAACATAACATTAAAGTTTTTATGGCCTTTAGAACAATATATCTTAGGGATGTCACCTCCCAATTAACGTTGTTTTGGACATTCTAACCACTCCCTTTTACTCAATACTTTTAATGCTTAAGTACATAACAGAAATGTACTTTGACACTTATTTACAGTAAATGTCAGATACTTTAAGATTTTTACTCAAGTAATATTCTTAGAGAAGCAGACTTTAACTTTTACCAAAGTAATTTTATGGTAAGATTGCATTTTTACTCAAGTATGACTTTGGTACAACCCTGAAAATGTTTCATTCAAACATAATGAATGTCGTTGAGCTGGAATTGCTTATATTTTACACCAGTGGGGCGCCAGAGACACCAATGATACCAGCTGGCAGTCAGAAATGTTAATCTTGTCTGGAGGACAAAATATGATAAACAATGCAGAACAATTTTAATAGAAAAAAAACTTTCTAAAATGCTTGTCTGTATATTTTGTCTTTTAAAGTAAGTCCTGAAACATTCCAGCACTTTCAGGACCTTGGACAGTTCCTTCAGCCCTTCACACAGTCTAAAGCCCTAAAACATTCCAGCACTTTCAGGACCTTGGACAGTTCCTTCAGCCCTTCACACTGTCTAAAGTCATGAAACATTTCAGCACTTTCAGGACCTTGGATAGTTCCTTCAGCCCTTCCCATTGTCTAAAGTCCTGAAACATTCCAGCACTTTCAGGACCTTGGACAGTTCCTTCAGTCGCTCACACTGTTTAAAGTCCTGAAACATTTCAGCACTTTCAGAAACTTGGATAGTTCCTTCAGTCCTTTACACTAAAATCCTGAAACATTTCAGCACTTTCAGGACCTGGGACTGTTTCTTCAGTCGTTCACACTGTCTAAAATCCTGAAACATTTCAGCACTTTCAGGACATTGCACAGTTCATTCAT